AGGTTTTTGTGCGTGGCCTTTAGGAGAACTTTTCACATGCCACCAATAGTAATAATGGTCACTTGTTCATTCCATGTCTCCCATGCATTAAGACCAGCCTCCTGCCCTTCATCTTCAGGTTCTGACAGCCTGCGCAGGATACAGACAAAGACCTGCTTTGCCGTGGCCTCCTGTGGGCCCTTGTGCCAGCCTAGGCAGCTGCTGTGGCCTAGCTCTAATGAGGAGGCACTAGGGGACCTCTCAGTTCTGTCCTGAGAAATCCCAGGGCCTCTTTTTGTTGTTGCTGGTGAGGTCACATTGGTTTATAACATTATATAAATTTCAGATGTACATCATTGTATTTCTACTTCTGTATACAATACATCACGTTCACCACCAAAAGTCTAGTTTCCATCTGTCACTGTATCACTGTCTCTCTTTACCTCTTTCACCCTCCCCTCACCCCACTTCAACTCTAGTAACCACCAATCTGGTCTCTGTATCTATGTGTTTGTTGCTGTAGTTGTTGTAGTAGTAGTTTTTTATCTTTCACGTATCAATAAGATCATATGGTATTTGTCTTTCTCCATCTGACTTATTTCACTTAGCATAATGCCCTCAAGGTCCATCCATGTTGTCACAAATTCAGAAAGATATCTGCACCTCCATGTTCATTGCAGTGTTATTCACAATAGCCAAGACTTGGAAGCAAGCAGGACTTCTAATAGAGAACCTAGCTGAATGTGCTGCACAGAGCTGTGACCAGCAGCTGGGGACCTCAGGGCAACTCATCCTGTGAATTCTTCTCTCCTCGCCACCACACCCAGAAAGTATCACCCAGATAATGCCAGTTATATTAAAATATCAGGCTGCTCGACAGGAAAGATGTTTCCCAAAGGGCAATCTCAGAAGGATCTGGAAGGAAAAGCAGACTGTCTGCTCTCCTTGACAGTGGAAGTTATGTCCTTTGGGTCTTGCCTCCCTCCTGTCTTCCTCTTCTTCCCTCCAACACTTCCTCCTCCTTCCCCATCGCTTCCTCCCCTCCCTCCTCCATCTGCCTCCTCTGTCTCCCTCGCTGTCTCTCCCTCGCCTCTCTCCCCCTCCTCTTTCCCTGCCCCTCCCCACGCCTTCCCTTCCAGCTCTCCCTACAGCACACTCCCCTGCTGTCCTTGGGTTCTGGCTCGGTTCAGCCAGTTTGTTCCTGAGGCGTCATGGAGCCCTTCCCCGCCAGTGGCAGTTCACCCAGATCTGTTACGTTCATTCATTTTATCCAACAGTAGCTGGCGAGTGCCTGCTCGGTGTCAGCAAGGCACTAGCTCCCGGGAATACAAGAAATTAGAGGAGAAACGTCTCTGCCCTTGGGGTCCTGACCACCCTCAGGGTCCTGACAGTTCCAGGGGGAGATGGCTCCACAGGATGGTTCTGCTGGTACAAACACGAAGTCCTGAGTCCTGTCTCCGTGTATTTGGTTCTGTGTTCTGGGCCGCACTCAGGAATCTGCATTTTCTAAGGAGTCATTGGGTGATGCTGGTGCAGGTGGGCCCTGAGCCAATCTCAGAGAAACATTCTTTTCACCTGTGGACCATGCCCAAAGACACCCCTTCAAGACTGTTTGTTGACTGACTGTGCCCTGTGATTTTACCCACCTGCTTGCCCTCAAGGGATTAGAAAGCATAAGCCTCTTGGAGCAGGATCTTAATTACGCATGCGTGTTAATGTTGGGAATCTTCAGACTCTAAGCATAGGCTTTGGGGGAGATTGTTCAAACTTACTGGAATGTCTTGATGTGCTCAACAGTTGCTCTCTAGAAGCCTGAGGTGACGTGGGTGCTGCCTCCCATTCCCCCTCCTCCCGTCTCCAAGCCCACATGTTGCTGGCGTTTCTCCATCACTGGAGTGGACCCTGGCTTTTAGCTCTCCCGGAATGAATCTTCCCTGCAGTTGGCCTCTTCTGGCTGTGCGATAAAACATCCTCCCTCCCCCAGATCATACGTAGGAGGGGACAGCATGTGTCGTGATTACCATTTGATTGCAAAGAACAGGAACCTATCTGACGAGGTTTAAGTCAAAGAGGACAGACCACAAAAGCTCAGGGAGCTCTCACATGACCCAGGGGCAGAGAGCAGAGCCAGGCCTGTCAGCTGATGACGGGAAGCAGTAGTTACCAGGCGGCCCCCTCCCCCAAGGTCTCACACCTCCACTGTGCACCTGCCTCCTTCCTCTGCCATCATCCTTGTGCACAGGGGCCGCTGGAGCTGCCCCCAGATGGCAGCCTGAGCCCTACAGACGAGTGAGACCATCTAGGTCTAGCTCCTAGCACTGTCTCCATTCCAAGTTTCAGGAAAAACATAATTTGATTCACTCGCTTTGGGATCGGTGCTCATTCCTGGTTCAGTTAACTGAGGCTGGGATATGGACTCACGTCGTGCTTTTCCATGCCTGGGATCAGCGGTTTCTCTGAGGGGCCAAGGACTGGGAGCAAATGATTGATAGTGAAGTGGTTGGAGTCCCTGGCAGGGCCGAGGTGGCACAGCTGCACCAGTAGGGGGCAGAGTCTTGTGTACATAGGGGTGACTGGTGTGAAATTTCTGCAAAAACGTTATGGACGGGCCTCACTGTAGAAGGGCAAAGAAATAGTATTTATTGAGTCCCCTCTCTATGCAATGGGCACATTGCATGTCTTTTCACAGCAGTATTCTATAGAGCTTTAACTTGGATCCAGAGTACTCCATTAATGTCACACATGAACAGTTTTCAGTGGCAGCACCCACGTTCAAACTAGGTCCACTCAACTCCGAACACTGATTTTTCCAGTGTGCCCTGTTGCTGCACCACCACATGGGTACCAAGAGGTATTCCATGGAGTCCAAAATCTGGACATTAAAGTCAAAGTCAAGCTCAAAATCAGAAGGAGCAGATAAGGCTCTAACACTGAGGGTTATAGCTCAGCTCAAGAGAATTCCACCTAATAGCTTCCTGGTGGCCCCAGTGGAGTTTCATTGGGTCTCCTCTAGGAGATGTCTCTTCTGCCCAGGAAGGCGTCTTAATGGCCTTTCTGGTCTTTGGCAGTGTGGGCATTTGCCAACTCCTCTGCGAAGACTTTTCTGGAGAGTACAGTGAAGCAGAGGGGCTAAAGTCAAGGACTTTGAAGTTGGATGGGTCCTGAGCTCTGCTCCATGACGCAGAGCAGGTCACTCAATCTCCGTGGGCCTCGGCTCTTAAATGGAGATGGTCCTTCCTCCTTCACAGGGCTGTGGAGGTTTTTAAATGAAAGAGTGTGTGAAAAGTGCTTTCCACTTGTGCTTGACACATAGTAATTGCTCAATAAATGGCTGTAATAGTAATAATAATTATTATTACTATTATTATGATTAGACTCTAAGTTGCTTGAACACAGGAAGTATGTTGTGTGTTTCTTTAACCCCTACAGCACCACTAAAAGGCCTTAGACATGGTAGGTTTTGAGAAAATATTTGCTTGGATGAATTTATTATACAAAGTTACCTATAAAGTTTGGAAACAGAGGTGGAAAGACATAATAAAGGAATTGTTGATATTACACTACAATACATGATGTAAGGCAATGTAATACAATGCACTATGTATGTATCAGTGTGTGGTCCCTCATCAGCAGTTCATGGTTCTGTGCTTCATGTGAAATTGCAATGAACATGGTAGATTAATGCTGCATTTCCGTTCATTCTTGCACATGCATCCAAGCTGTGTTGCCTCAGATGGTTTTTGTCTCTGATTTTCAGAGTCAACTTGTGCCTTTGGTGTACCCTAGAAGAAATAATCAAGGAGCTAATATATACAAAAATAAAATGCTAATCTTTGTCTGAGACTTTATGGCCACTAACCACCCCTTAGATACTTTTCATCTCTCTCACTCGGCGCCCTTGTCTGTAGGCTGAAGCGGTCTGTCTGTAGTTTCTCACTGACCCCTTTGGGCATCAGTGGTCTCCTATATGAGTCTTCTCCCTTCTGTAAGGACTGGCACCCTGATCCACTTTCTTCCCACCAGAACGTAGAGATTGGACCCCTTCCTGTAGACCTCTCCTCTCCAGTTTCCCTTCACACCCCTGGCTTGTAGAGCTCTTCTTCCTGGGGCAGGGAGTGGACGCATCTTGTTCCTTACCTCCAAGCTTCTTTGAGACTGCCCATGGATGCTCATCCTGTCACACAGCTGTCACCAGAAGTGCAGTGGGAACCAGCTCCATGGTTGCAGACACCATGTGATGTGTGAGACCCATCCTCGTGCAAGCTACAAAGGAGCCAGGTTATCCCTGGATGCTTTGGGGCCCCTCATTTGTCTAAGCTAAAATATAGCTTTATGGAGACAGAGGGTGTAGGAATTGAGGCCGTCAGGGAAGTTACTCAATTTGCCAGAGTAGAACCCAGCACCTGTTATGACGATGCCTGCAGAGGGGCTTCTGATACTGCCACCTTAATGACTTTAGCTTCTTGTTGTTGTTGTTTAATTGAGATATAATTGACATAGAACATTGTATAAGTTTAAGGTGTACAACATGTTGATTTGATTTGTATATTTTTATATTGCAATATGGTTACCACCATGGCATTAGCTAACACCTCCATCACGTCACGTAATTACCATTTCACTTTCTGGTGAAATGTTTAACATCTAGTCTTTTAGCAACTTTGAGGTATATAATACGGTATTCTTGACTATATCACAATGCTGTGCATTAGATCTCCAGAACTTATTCATCTTCCAACTGCAAGTTTAGACCCTTTCACCAACATCTCCCCAATTCCTCAATGCCCTGGAAACCAGCATTCTACTCTCTGTTTCTATGAGTTCAGCTTGTTTAGGTTTCACATATAAGCGAGAACGTACAGTATTAGTCTTTTTCTGTCTGACTTATCTCACTTAGCATAATGCTCTCAAGGTCCATCCATGTTGTTGCAAATGGCAGGATTTCCTTCTTTCTCGTGGTTGAATAGTATTCCTTTATATATACATACAACATGACTTTAGCTTCTTTCTCTCTCCCGCAGGACACCAGCCATGATTGGCTGCTCATTTGTGGTCAACAGGAAGTTCTTTGGTGAAATCGGTCTTCTTGACCCTGGGATGGATGTGTATGGAGGAGAAAATATTGAACTTGGAATCAAGGTTTGTGACATGGCGTCCTTTCCTCTTGCTTTATCCTTGTTTTTGAGCAGAGCTGACTGGTCATCCTTAATGTGTATTTAAAGCTGCTTTAGCTGGTGAATGACAGAATCATTCACCCCACCCTTATTCCTGAGGATGTTCCAGCAAGGTTGTCACCACTCCTTAGACAGGGGTTATCCTGGGCTTTCCTCTGTCTAAAGGTTGACCAATGTGTTCTGTGCCTTGGTGACCCAGGCTGGACATTAGCTGGAGAATTTGATTCTCCATCCAGTTTCATTCCCTTTAAGTTTTTCTTAAAATTAAATTCTTTCCTTAAATTAGTATTTCCATCCTCTGTATTTTGATGGTTCATGTACATCACGGAATCATAAGATGCCAGAGGAGAGAAGGACCATGTTCTGTGGGACCCTCTGTTTTCTCAGAAATGCTTCCAAGGAGGATGATGGGGGAGAGGAATGAGGGAGACACAGAATGGGCCTCTCGCTGGGCCCCCAGTCCAGATCAGCTCCACTGTTAGATATTTTATGTACTCGGTTTTGCTTAAGATTTTGTTTGAAAAATGAATTCCACTGTAAAAAAAAAAAAAGTTGGACACATTGATGCATTTCTGTGTCCTGTATCCACTGTCCTGAACCTTTGCATACCTGAGTCCCTGGAAATGACTCAGGACACAATTGTAAGGCTTAAACATTACTGAATTTCTTCTGCTGTCCTCTGCTGCATTCTCGTTTTTATTCTACCAGGTAGGTAACCAGTACAGAACCCTCCTCCCAATCAAAGCCTGCTCTCTGTGTCTGATTTCACTCATTTATTCCTAACTACTCAGGGCCTTTAAAAGACTCCATCAGCCCCTCATCTACACTTGCGCCCCCTTTGTGCAATGAAAGACTTCATGCCCTCAAGATTTAATGCATGTCCCAGCTACACGAGCAAAGGGGATGGTGGGGCTCTTCCCTGGATCCTAAAATTACTCCCTTTTGGGGACTTCAGACTCTTCCTATGCCGTCAGTTCCAGGCTGGATTCTTTCCTCAATGGAATTTGCATAGGATTTCTTAGTAAAGCTCAGCAATTAAAAAGCCCGTGAATATGTTGTCATAGCTAATATACTCATCATTCGTCCATTTGAAATTTATTGAAGGAAAAGATCTGGACCCAGAATGTTGAACTTGGCCTGTAACTTAAATTTCCACCCTACTTCCATCTTCTCATCCCTCCTTGTGCTGTTCTGCTGCGTTTTTTCCTTAGCTCTCATCAACTTCTAGCATGCCCTAGAATTTACTTATTTATTATGTGTGTTGTTTTTCTCTACCTTCCCCTCACTAGATTACAAGAAGCTTTATGGGGCACAGATCTTTTCTGTGCTCACCTTTGTATCCCAAACATGTCAAACCATGCTTGACACAATGTTCCTGTTAGATTAATGTTAGATTAGGTGTCTGTTAGATTGATGACTGAATGGATCCTATTGGAAACTGAACATAAGTAGAAGCAGTGGAGTGGTGGGGACAAGCCTGGTTGGAATGAGTTCATGGCTAGATGGGAGGTGATAAGTTGTTCCGGGTACTTACCTGTGAAAGGAAGGAGCTCAAGGAATTTCTGCATGGAGACAATTGAGCTTTTTTTTTTCAAAAAAAAAAGCAATTATTTTTAAGATAAAATAAATTTGAATGTCTGTATATGCTGCAAGAAGGAAACCAGTGAGGCGTAAAATATTACCCACAGAGGAGAAAACAGGATGACGGGGGGTGCTGTCCCTATGGAGGCAGGGACACAGGTGGAGGGGTTAAGGGGATGGGAGGGACCTCCAGATTTCATTGCCACTGCAGGCTGTCTTCTGGGGAGAAGAGAGGCTGTGACAGCAGAACTCAGTGCTGAGGCTTGCTGAGATGTTGGTCTCCCCACACTCGTGACGGCGTTTGCTTTGCAGTGATCTGGACCCAGCAAAGGTCTGTGTGCGAGGCTCTGCCACACTCAGTGGTGATGGTGGTGATGGTTCTTTGTGGCTGCCCTCATCCCTGAAGGAAGAGAGGGGGCTTATCATTTTCTGTTCAAAGCACAGCCCAGCACACCAAAGCCTAACCACCTGAGGGGCCAGTGAGTTCCACTCGGCACGCTCCTTGTGAACAGGCTGGAGTGAACAGGCCCTCAGAGTCTGCTCCCTGGCTTGTCTTCTTTGTGGCAGATTGGCGCTGGGCTGCTCTCTGCATATCTTTATAAGAGCATCGGATGGATGGAGGCATGGATACCACTCTCGTGTGCAATTACCTGCCTCTTATTGTACGCCCAGGCTTATCCAGCATACGTGCTGGAGATTTGGGAATGTTGTGCTCTTACTTCCCATGTCCTGTGAGCTGCAAGCTGACTCTCCACAGAAGCCTTGGTTTTCTGCTGATTCTTGAAGCGGGAGTTGAACACTATTGGGGCCACAAAGACCAAGGCCTGTGTTCGGGGTCCACATAGCCACCGTCTACACAGTATTCTGTGTTTCTCATGTTGTGGTCCTGACCAGCAGCATCAAACTTACCTGGGAACTTGTTACAAATGCAGATTCTCAGGCCCCTCCCACACCTACTGAATCAGACACTCTGGGGTAGGGTCCAGCAACCTGTGTTTTAACAAGCCTTCCAGGTGATTCTGTTACATACCCAAGTTTGAGAGTCACTGGTCCACACCCTGACCAACTTCCTGGCAAATACACACCTTTTCTCAGAACGGAGCCCAGATGAGAATCCACATCTTTTAAGACCCTCCTCTGGGTTCCTCTCATGGCCACTGCGGGCCACAGTGAGTCCTTTCTTCTCACTCCCAGCCCACACAGCCTGGGCTTCCTTAGGACCAGCGCCTACTTCCTCATTAGCTTCATGTGCAGGTGTCTGGACCAGGTTCCTGCAAGGTTCCTGGTGACAGGGCTGCCTTTTACAGGAAGTAATCCATGTAAGGTGCTTTGTTTCACAAACTCTATTCCTTCTCCTTTCATTTCTTGCTATTTTGTACTGCTCAGGGTGCAAATAAGAAGAATAATAAATACATTATTAAGAAAGCCATCCCCACTGCTGAAAAAAATCAGAGCTTTGTGTAATATAAACGCACATATATACATACATATAATCTTCATGTAGTGTACACACATACATTTATACAAATTAACCTATAAGGAATGACACAAAATCCTATGCTTTAGTTAAGTGGGAAAATTTTCATATGAGAACACTTTCTTTGTGATTTTTTCCAACAGGAAATAGGTACATCTATGCTCTTTCCAACTATTCTCTGGAATTTTTCCTTATTCTTGAATTCCATCTTCAGTAAGTAAAGATGTGTGCAAGAATAGGAAGAATAGAAAGTCTTATTGTGATTCAGGGAAAAGACTAGCAGGGTTGACTCTAGGCCTGTTGCTTGGATGAAAGGCAGCTTGCCTATGACCAAAACAATCAATACAGTGAAGGAAAAAAAAAAAGCTTTCCAGGACTGAAAAAATAAGTGAGATTAGAAATTGAAAGTTTTCATCTTCTTCTAAGTAACATTGATCAGAAACTATTAACAAGGCATATTATAGTAACATGTCTAAATGGTAAGAGAAAAAAATTCTCTAAGGAGAGAAGACCTCAGATAGATTACTTTTAAGTGGTATAAAGTCAGATGGCTTCAGATTTCTCCAATGGATCAGTCTTCTTTGAGGAGAAAAGGCACTTTCTTATTCTGAACCCTCGTATGAAAGAGTGACACACAAGACTCCTGAACCCTGTCAGGCAGCCTTTCCTAACGGAAGACAATAGAAAGACAGTGTCTGATCCTCAGACGATCAGAAAACGTCTTAGAGCAGTCAAAGACTGAATAAAAGGCAGAATTCCTGTGAGTGTACATTGTTGTTAAAAATATTTGTGAGACCAATGACCTGTGATGGAGGCAAGTAAACAAGAGGGTGTGGAGAGGCACGCGTGTGATAACCTTACCTGGCCCAGCGCAGCCCAGCCCAGCACCTTCCTCTTGGTGCAGCTTTTACAGGAGGCTCCACAAGAGTCACAGGTAAAGGACTAAGACCCCTGACATGGTGAATGATGGGCAAAGGATGTGTGTATATTAATTTGCACAAGGTAACAATCATGTTCTTAAAAAGCAGAGTGTGACCTAGATGCCACAATTGCTGATTGTGTTTTTCGTGATGTCCCTGGGCCACACCATTTTCCTGAGGCGTTGGGATGCCATTTTCATGACCTCTGTGGGCCCAAGGTTGGCAGCTCTGCCATCTTGCCCAGGCCAGTCCACTTGGGCTCAAGGCACTGAGGACCTGCAGGGTCACCCAAAGGCTCAGACTTTCATGGAACCTGAGCCAATTGGGATAACTTCAGCACTAGTTTTGAAGGATTGCTCCTTTAGAGGGGTCATTTAGAAATTATGGGCTCTCTGGGGTGGCCAAAGCCCCAGGACCCCAAATGAACATGGAAACTCCCACTCACACTAGTCTCTCTGCTCCCCACCTTGTCTCTTGTCTTTGACAAGCCAATGGCATAATTCAGTCCCAGTCCAAAGGACTGAGAATCGAGGGGTTGATGGTATATACAGTCTCTGTCTGAGTCTGAAAGTCCAAGAATCAGGAGTACTGAGGTCTGAGAGCAGGAGAAAATGGATGGCTTAGCTCAAGCAGGAACATGAGACAGCTCTGACAAGCACTGATGACTGTTGCTCTGACCCTCGCTCCAGCCACTCCTCTATCCCTGGGTTTGGGAGTCATCATTCAACATCCATTTTAGCCAGGATAGATCCCCCTACCCTCTCTAAGACCCCTGACATCAAGATCTCTGATGTTCAGAAGCCTCTTGTGACCTTTGTCTTTCATTTTGAACTCTTGGCCTCGAGTCTGCTGCATTGTGATTTGGGTTATGGTGACTCCTGGAGGGGACCAGACCATCAACTCTTTTTAGTTCTCCTAATGCTTAGGTTGCACTAGATTAGTGCAATCTTGGGTCTCCCTTCCCTGCTAGCATTGATCATCTCTGGC